TCCTGGGTCTGAGGGAGGAGGGGCTGGGGCCTGGACCTCTGAGTCTGAGGGAGGAGGGGCTGGGGCCTGGACTCCTGGGTCTGAGGGAGGAGGGGGCTGGGTCACCCCAGTCCCTGGCAGGCAAGCCTTGGCTCCTGCCTGCCCGTGCTATGACTAGACTCCCTTGGGGGCGGGCTTCCATCTGTTGGAGGGGAGCCGAGGCTTTCCCAGTCAAGGCAGGAGGCCCAGATGGGTGCACTGCGGGGCGGAAGGACCTCCGAGGGTGGGAGATAACGCATGTCTTGATGCAGCCCGCCTCTGCAGCTCCTCGCCATTTTCCGCGCTGTCCGCCTCCCCGATGCCTGCCAGCTCCCGCAGCCTTGCACCTTGGCCAGCCTCTCCCTCCCCCTCACAGGGTCTCTGGGGCTGTCGTCTCTGAGCACCTCTCCCTTGACCTCCCCTTTTACCCTCTGCCTCCTCTTCACATCATTCAGGCTGACTTTGGTTGTCTCTGGACAGGAAATGTCTGTCCTTGGGTCTCCTCATCTCAGCCTCAGTTTCTCTGTTTCTCCATGTCTCTCCATGTCTATGTCTCGTCCATGTCTCTGCCTGTGTCTGTCTCTTTCTTTGTCTCTATCTATGTCTCTCCCTGTCTCTGCCCATTTCTCTCTGTCTTTCCATATGTCTGTCTCTCTGTCTCTGCCTCCTCTATCTAAAGCAACTCACTTCTCCCCTTGTCCTCACTTCTTTTCCTAAGACCCTCCAAGACCCTCCCTCTCATACCTTCTCTAAGGCATTTAGCCTCAGTCCTCTCCTCCCATCTGTCCAGAGCTTCTGTTCCCTCCATTCCACTTACCTGGAAGCCATCACTGACTCCCACCTCCCCACTTCTCTCTCCCAGTCCTCTCCCCACCCAATTCTTCTCCTCATCCCTCCTCCCCCACCTCCATCCCTGGGCCAATCAGCCTTCATCCGCCATGTTTCTCCCCATCCCTCATATTCCCTCTCCATTAGCCTCTCCATCCCCACCCCTCTCTTCATCCCACCCAGGCCACCCCCCCACACTCCCCATAGCCCCGCCCTAGACATGAAAGGAGGAATCCAGGGCTGTGAGGGGGTCAGGTGGTCATCCAGGGAAGGAGGCGGCATCTGCTGGAGAGACTCACAGACAGACAAGGACACACGGACACAGAGGCAAGGGCATATCCAAGCATGCACGATACCACCCCCCCCACACACAGTCGTACATGTGCACCCCAGCCAGGCACTCAGTCTCCACACCATGGCTCTCGTGCTCCTCCCAGCTCCCCATGCCTGCTCCCCCAGATTAGGGGCTGGACACACACACAGCCCCAGGCCACACTGCACTGCAGAGCCCCCTCATCCAGGCCTGGAAGGAGAAAGAGAGGTCATCTGGCGTTCATCCCATAGCCTGGACCTGTCCCCACCCAGCAAGGGAAGCAGAGGGGCTTCAACACCCCAGACACAAACACCAGCTCTCAGACACACCCAGACATGGTTGCAGACAGGCAGACATAACCCGGGCCACATGATCGCTGGCAGATGGTGCTGGCAGGTCCTGACGGAGCCAGGAGCTCACCAACGCACACATGCACACATACGATCGAGCACGCAACCGTACTAGGCCAGGCAGAGATGCCGAGGGCCGGTCCGTGCCCCCGCGGACCCTACACACAAAGACACGCCGACATGCGCCACAGATCCCCGCCGACCCAGGCGGCCCCGCGCACACACTCAACCAGCGACACAACCACACAGACCGGCCGGGTCAGCCGGCTCACGGGTCCCGCAGACCTAGCCCCGGAGCGCGGGGGTCCCGGAACCCCCGCGCTCCGCAAACAACCAATGTCACTGGACCCACAATGTCACACACACGCACGGCCCGGCCTGCCCGAACACCTACCCCCATCTTGGCGGCTCCGGGGGACAGGGGCGGGCAGGCGGGGCGGGGGCCGGGGCAGGGGCCTCAGGGCGGGCTCAGGCGCAGGCTGGAGCTGGGGGCCTCTGCAGCGCCCGCGCCTCGGTGCGCGCGTCCGTCCGTCGGTCTGGCAGCCCTACCGCACAGTCTGCGGCGGCCGCCGCCTCCGCCTCCTCATATGCCTGCGCCCGCGGGGGGGCCGGCGCCGGCCAATCAGGGGCGCCGCCGTCCTGATGGATGGCCCGTGGCCCCGCCCCCGGTACTGCAGCTGTCCTCTCCGCCCCCCAGCCTCCGCAAAGTGGCGGCGCCACTGAGAGGGGGGAGCGCTGCGGGGGGCGGGGAGGATCCCGGAGACCCCCGCGATAAGGGACTTGGAGACCCCCGCAATGTGGGGTGGCGCCTCCGAGGGAGCGCTGAGGGAGAGAGCGCCCCGGAAATCCCCTCACGGTGGGCGTGTGCCACCAGGGAGAGGGGTGCGCTGCGGGAGGTGGACACCGGGTCGGGGGAAGGCCCGGTAAACCACCGCAATAAGGCAGGAGGCCCAGAGCACATCCCTCTGCAGTGAAGCAGGGGGGCTCCTGGAGACTGTGTGGGGGTGCTGTTCAAGAGCGGGAGCTGGAAGGAGCACCAAAGGCTAGGAAGACCTCAAAATGAGGAGGGGTGCAGAGGGAGGAGGAGCCCTGAGGCCCCTTCACTGTGTATGCCCCCTTCCCAGTATGGCAGAGTTATCCAAGGAGACACAACTGCACAGGTACACAGGAGACACATGGCAGCCAGAGGACCCCACTGAGCATCAGGCTCACACACAGTCATCACCCAGATACCCAGATGCTGGGGATACACACACACCACCCCATCACACACCACCACAAGTTCACAATCACATTCCATCACACCAGCTTGTACCCTCACATACACAGTACACTACCCCATTACACAACCCCAGAGACTCAGGAACACAAAGAAATGAAACACACATAGCACACACACCTGCATACCCCATCACACCACAACAGAATCACAATCACGGTCATAAAGTGCCATGTAGATTAACACGCATCCTCAGAACACCACATCACAGACACACACATCACATACTCCAACCATACCTAGCCTTGTACCATCTCACATAGAGACCCACAACCATGCAGCACACGGACCGCAGAACCAACACACATCCACACTCAGCACCATTGCACACCACAGGCTCCACACTGCCTCCAGACACCACATGAGCCTTTGTGGATGCTGTTGCATGGTCACACAACATGATACACACCATCACACACACTCCTCCCGGTATATATGGGCACAAGCAAAGGCCCGCAGTGCAAAATTGCCAAAGCATTGCTAATTGTGAATGACAGACCAAAAGGTGCACACAGACTCACACAGGGCACAATAATTCACAGAAACATCACACGACACCATCCCACACACCTCCCACACTACACATATCACTTATTGCAGCGCTATCACATACACCTTTGTTGCACCCCTAAACACACCAACACCCCACCCACACACCATATACACCCCATCTCAGTATACGTATGCACACACACACGCACAGCCAGCACCCACACCCCAAGCCTCTCATATACACACAACACCCCATCAGCCACCCACTGGAGCCCGAGGAGTCACGGCCTCCCACCCTCACCCCTTTGCTCTATGAGGAACATGCCCCAACTCTCCCTGCGGATGGTAGGAAGGATAGAGAGAGAGCAAGAGCCTGTCCCTGTAGCTTTCTCAGAGTGTGGGCATCTTCCCCACCTATGGGAGTGGAGGTGTGGGGGACACAGGCAAGGGCATGGAGTGAGCCTGGTGTATGGGGGGGTGGGTGGGGGAGGTTAAGGACCTGGTCAGGGAAATGTGTGAGAGGCTAAAGGCCAGAGTGAGAGACACAGAAGCAGAGACAGAGAGAGACAGAGGTTCAGAGCCACAGAGAGATGGGCATGCACAGGGAGACAGGGCCAGAGAGTAGGAGGCAGGGAGTCAGTTTCCTTGGATTCCCCCAGCACCCACAGGCTCGGCCTAATCCTGTACTCTGACCCGTCCCCATCTCTCCCTGCTGTCCCTTGTTGCCATGGTAACAGGGAGGCCGACCATGCAGCAAAGGAGGCTGGGCCTGCAGACCTGGCCTGTCTCCATGGAGACTGGGGAAGGAAGGGGGAGCCACATCTTCTAACCCAGGTAGTTGGCCCCCAGGTCCCCCTCTCCAACTCTGCCCCATTCCTGGGGGAGGGAGGGTAGGAGAGCCTGACACCTTGGCCTGCAGAGATGGGCCTGGACCATGGGGAAGGGGATTGGGGGACAAAGAAGCCTGGGGTTGTCTGGATCCCAGGAGATTCTAGGCTCTCTCTTCTCCTGCTCTCTAGTTGGGCTGGGGGAGACCTCGGCCCCCCATACCGCACCCCAGACACAGGCTCACATCCCCCCTTACGCTTCCTCCTCAGACACAAGCCTGGTGAGGCTGATGACTGTGCATCGTGCTCTCAATCGTGCTCTCAGCGCGAGGCTCTGCGGAAGTTGTGGGGGGAGGAGGGAAGACTTAGGAAGGTCACAGGGATAGACGGAGACAGGGGAGCTCAGCGTGAGAGGTGGGAAGAGAAACATAAGAGGAGAAACAGACACAGTCCAGAACCAGAGAGGCAGATATGGACAGACTGAAAAAGACAGACAGAGAGACTGGCAGACAGAGATAAGAAAACAGACAGAGGAAGATTGAGCAACAGAAGTACTCAGTGAAGGTGACAGAGAGACAGGGACAGAGAGCCAGGCAGGAACAGAGCAGAGCAGAGACTCAGAGCAGAAGCGGGGGAGACTCAGAAATAGGGAAGGACCCCAGAGGAGATCAGCCTCGTGGTATTGGGACAGAGAGGGAGAGAGACCAGAAATGTCTGCAATCATATTCTAATCACTTCAACAGACTGAGAGTCCCGCCCAAGGGCAGAGACATTGATTAGTATCTGTAAGAGACATGGAGACAACAGAGAGGCTGACACACAAGCTCCTTCCCACACCTGTCCCTGAGGGGCACACGCATGGCAAGTGTCCAAGACACAGAGGGGCCGGGTGGAGACTGAGGTTGCTGTGTGCCAGGGGGGGTGCCCCGGTGTGTGGCCCGCCCCAGGACTGCGAAGGCAGGCAGGCCCTGCAGGGCAGACAGGGCAATGCCACCCCAGGCCCACAAGGCCGGTGCTGAACGGACAGCTCCTGCACTCTGGGCCGCCTGCCCAAGGGGCGGGCCCAGCCTCTCTCCTCTCCCTCACTCTGTCCCTGTCTGGCTTTCCTAACCGCTCGGGCCCCCTCCTGTCTCCATCTAGTTTTCTATGGCCCCTTGTCTCTCACCTGTCTCTGTTCCATCTCAATCTGCTTCTCTCAGCCCCAGCTCCCCGGGTCTCTTACCCTCCCTGCTTCATCTGTCTGCCCCTCTGCCCCACCCCTCTGCCCCCTTCTCCATTCCCTCTCGCCATTCTCTCACCTCATCACCGCATGTCTCTTGGTCTCTCCCCCTCTTTGTCCCTAACTCTCTCTCTCCCACCCTTCTCTACCCACCTCATTGTCCCTCCTCTTCTCTATTCCATCCCTGTCTCTCCCTTTTCTGTCTCCCCCACTCCACCCCATCTCTCTCTCTCCCCACCTCTCCATCTCTCCCCCTTCTACTCCGCCTCGTTTTGGCTCTTGCTGTGTGACCTTCACTCGTCCTTTCTCAGCTGCAGTTTCCACAGAAACCTCCAGCGGGGCAGGGAAGGGTGGGGACAGAGAGTAGGGTGGGGACAGAGAGTAGATCCACCCTTCTCTCTGCTCATCCAGTCCTTCAGCACCCACCCTCCCGCCCCCATTCTACTGGGATTTCTCACTTACTCTCTTGGGGGGCTGGGGAGGTAACATTATCAGCAGAAACACAGGGTCACAGTCACAGACAGTTGAAGATGGCCTCATGGATGTACACACACACATGCACATGATACAAAGTCTCCAAATCACCCTGACCCAGGCATACACTTGCAACTATACGGGCCACCCCGGCATCTCCACAGTGAACAGTTCACTCGCCCTCCCCTCCCCCAGCCCCATCTGGTTTCTGTCTTTCTGTGTCTCCGTTTCCTTGTGTCTCCGCCTCTCCAGATCCCTGCATCTTTCCCCATCTGTCCTAGGGTCTCTGTCGCAGCCTCCTTCTGTCCTAAGAGAAGGTCAGTGAAGAGGGGCCAGGTGCCAGGACCTGGGCTGACCTGCTGGCTGTGGGCAGGGCCGAGGGTGAAGAGAGTGCAGGAGTCACCATCCAGTCTGTGGTTCTCAACACACTCCCCAGGGCCCAAGACTTCAATGCCCTCACCCCCAGGAAATGAGACCCCGGTATCCCCAGTTTTGGGGTTTTGTTCTTTTTTTATTCCAACAGGGACTGGGATGTGGCAGAGGAAGGGATGGGGGCCCAACTGACCCCCTCCCTTGGGGGGGGTCTCATAGAAATTCCGAGGTTTCTCCCCAAAAAAAAGAGAGAAAGAGAAGAGTCGAGGGGCACCAGGGGACATTCATCTGCCCAGAGGCCCTCCCCTCCTCCACAAGTGGGGAGGGCTGCGTCAAGTCTTGGGGAGCCTGAGCAGTCCCAGGATGGAGTTCTCCCCGCAGACTTCTTTCCGCTTCCAGGAACGGCCCCCGAGTCCCCGGCCCCTGGAGTCCCCGGTTCCTGCGCTCCTCTTGCCCGCAGTCGGCGGCGGAGCGCGGCGTCCGCGGCACCCACCGGCAAGCCCACTAGGGGGCGCAGGCAGGCTCCGGAGCCGGACCTCGGACTTCACCGGGAACCGAAGGCAAAAACGCGGCGTCCGGCGCGCCGGGGCACAAGTCCTGTCCCTCGCCCGCTGGGGAAGCGAGGGCGGCCGGGGCCTGGGGTGGGCCCCGTCCCTGCGGTCAGTCC